AGGTCGCGGGTTCGATCCCTGATAGGGTTGTGGGTGCGCACTGCCGAGGAGTCCCACACTGGGACGAAACAGCTGTCCATTGCTCCCAGGTTTCCTTTGTTTCTCCAACTGATGTCAGTCTACGATGACAAAAACAACTTGAAACAATTTTATTTTAATTTGTCGACTACTTCTCTCTCAAGAAAAATGCGAATCAACTTTTGTTCTCTATTTTCTTGAAATTAGGCGTTATTATAGATGCTTAAGGAAAGTGGACTAGTATTCATAAACTTTTATTTTGCAAGAAGTACATTAAAGTGATCACAAATTTCAGTGTTGATTTAAAAATCGATTATTGATTTTAATGTAATTTATGTTTTACAAAATATTTGAATGATTAATGCAGATGATTAAATAATAGGACAATGGAAATTCATTCTTTGTTGAACAGTTAATTGACCAATTAAAAACGTTCTGTTTAATGAACAACGATAATCGATTTTTTCTCTCAAAGTAACTACTTGCTGGTGTTCACAATAGATTCAGCAGTGAAAGTTTTGAATATACATTTCTGCTAGCTGTATTCATGAAACCGATCAGTTTAGTAGATTCAAAAAACAACTTTTCACAGTATCAGTAGATATCAAAGCAGTAGAATGTAGATTTTTGTGGAAACAAGTGTATACCACTTCTCTGAATACAAAGATAACTCTTGGCTTTAATCGACAGTCTAAGCCTCAATTTTCGAGGTTTCCCAATCTTAGATTCTCCAAATGTTTTAGTGGATGTATTGTGAAAAAGGATTATAGTGAAGAAAATTTCAATCGAGTAGGAAAAAAGAAACTTGGTGAGCAGAAAACTCACTTTCGTAGACCAGTCAGACCTGCATGAACATAAAAATTACATCTGTAGCAGTTACCGGATAGAAATCTAATGGTCCGTACTACTCAACTTCTGCCAATTGGTAGTTCACTGCCACTCTTATCTAATATCCTCACTTCAGATTTAATTGCAACCCTGTCATGGCTTCTAATTTGAATAGAAACAAGTGTTGGTGCTATGCCAAGCCAAATAATATAACGTAATACTATAAAATTTGGAGCGAAAATTTCCAAAAATTACGTGAATCGTGTGATGCAAACAATTATTATTTTAACACTGTTATTCGGTGAAGTATGAGACAGAATTACGGTCTCAAGTGGAACAAAGTTGATTTCAGGTATTTTGTTCAGGCATTTTGTGCTCAACAGAAACCATAACTTCCCACGAAAAAAATCCTGAACTCTGACTTCTGTAAGATTTTGTCGAATCTCCTTCGCAGCTTCACCAGTGATTGTACAATTTATCAACTTGTTTAACAGTTTTCAACTGAATCTACTTTAGATTTCCGAATCTCTCTCTCTCTCTCTCTTACCATCTTGTTCAAAACCGTTGTGTTTTCAAGCTGGAACTTTCAGAATATTTCGTCACCAACTGATCCTGATGTTTGGCCCTTGGTGAAATCTTCAATAATATTTCCAGACTGCTACTCAACTTTATTACTATTGCTAGAATTTATGCTGTCTTCTTTGCTTCTGAATATTCTTCAGATTTCAACTGTCACTGGGATGGCCTACCACAGAACTAATTTTTAAAAACTAGTTGCGAAGTTAGCTTCTAGAAACGATTAGTTGGACATTGAGCGTTGAACACAAGGAGGCTTATTTGCAATAACATCATCAATTTCCAGTCTGATTTTCTTTAAAACGCTAAAAATCACCACTCAGTATTCATAAGAAACTCATATATAATTTATCTTTGCAGATATTTACCGAGCAATCTTCGCTGGTAGAAACCTTTAACTAACGAAAGACAGCAAAGAATTTATTGCACTATCGGAAAACGTCTATTTTTCTAAGGATGATGCACCCTTGCAGGTCATACTTGGACAAGACTATCGGTGTGAAGAAGAGAAACGGTGAGGAAAAGTATGGTTTGCCAATGGGGAACGAGAAACTATCCTATTTGTTTTCACCTTAACAATTTTTTTCCCACCTCATCAGTTCTTCGAGTACTGTGATTATCTACTTGGTGACAGGCACATTTTCTGACACTCTAATGTACATGATATCAAGCTGCTCAAACGTACTAGAATTTTACTATCCTTATTTCTTAAACCCCCTCCTTAATTATATCGAACAGCTTAGTTAAATGCCATAAACTTTAAATGATACATCAACTCGTTAAGGTATGTTAATCCTCAGACTTATATTACATCTTTTCAAAAATTGAATTGTATCCTGAGGAAACGATAAGAGGAAGGTTTTTTCAACTGAATTTTATCAGTCTCGTAATAATCGTCAGTTGATATATCTTTATACATTTATACGTCTTACTGACATATAGTTTTTTATCCAGGCTTGTTTTAAAGTATAGATATGCAACGACCAGTTGTTACTAGGATTTCATCTAGCCTGTAACTGCTCTGTTACAAGGAGTGAGGAGGTAGATGCGCAAAGGAGCGTGAGTTTGGCGGTGACCATGAGAATCTAGAAAGGAAAAGAAGCAAAAAACGTGATTAAAAGACTCATCAAGCATAGAGAATGCACCTACATCTGGTAATAAAAGACAAACGATCAACGATAGCATTTCGCAGCGCAGCAATGAAATCAAAACTAGAGTTGGATGAGTAAGCTTTCAAAACAGTTACAGATGTTCCCTTCAAAAATGTTACGAAACATAAATACATAGGTGATGAGTTTAAACAAGAACAAAAATCTGTTACATACTAGATGGGTGATATGGAATCAAGTTTGCCTTATAAGCAATCTAATGAATACTTTTGTCTTAATGAACGCCTGTTCGAGACAAAGTTTGTAAGTTGGTTATACTCTAGATAAAACAAGTAATGAGTTGCGTATTCACAAACAAATTATCTTTTCTTCTTAGTAGAGGTATTCTTGCTAATCACGATTAATATGGTAAAGTAGAGAAGACAGCAGAGAACAACAAACAATGATACATTTAGTTTCCTAGGGATTAAATTATCATATATTCGTAGTAGAATTAGTTTTATTATGAGGTGCTGTTCTACCTTATTTAATATTGGCCAAGTGAAACTTGTGAAATAAGTATAACATGAATCCTACAAAAATAGTTACACAGGTCAGTAAGTTGACTTGTGCTGAAGGTGTCAGCCTAAACTGTGCGGTTTTCAACATCAGAACACTAACAGAAGTCATGAACCAGAACTTCTAAAAAATATTCTGAGTTGAGCGAACCGACTATTCAGTACTTCAGAAGGTCAGGTGGTTACTAGAAGTATGTCCACCTGTGGTATATTCTATCACTCGGAATCTTTTAAGATCCAATCGGATTCGACTTTGCAGTAGGATGAGCAATGTCACTCTGATACATGACATATAAGAAAAAAAGAATCTGGTAACCGAATGCTTCCTTCTATTTAATGCCATTTATCAACTGTACAACACACAATGATAAAACATTTTCCAAAGATGAGTCAAAATTACAGTACTTTTTCTGCTCAGATAATGATGTTAACCAGTAAGCTGGTACACTTTTGGGCATCTACCTGTAGGTCACACTTGACGCATGATATCACACGTTTGCTAAAGCTGAAAGCAGCCTAGAATTTATTAATTCATATCCCAGTCGATAATAACAAAACACTTTGATTACGCAGTCATATCTCTTTTTCGCTGTGATTAACAACCTAATGGTTACACGTTGCAATCTACCTGTCATTGAGATATACTACACTAGGAAACTGGGGATTTCTGGAAAAATAACTCACAACCATGTGCTTTCTCCATGAAAAAGGGATGTCATATTTTCATACATATATTAATTTAGTTGACCGTCTAAATCTATATTCTGGTACTTGGTTGATTGAAGGGTTGCTGAGGACTACTATCACTTCAGTGGGAACAGTTAACATCCGGTTCTCCCATGTACTACTCTAGTATAGGCTGTTGACGTTTCCCAACTGCTGACATCATGGAAGTGATTACTGTCGGCTATATGGAGGAAAGATTTATGCAAACGTAGGGCTCATAGGACATCTACTACTTGAGACCTGTCACGTACAGCCTTTTTATGATCGTTAGCTTGAAATTTAACTTCTCAAGTGATAGATAGGAAAAACCCATAACACCAGGACCGGAAGATCGTACGGCAGGGAAAAGTGTGCCTTTATGTGACAAACCTTCCCTTCCCCCTCGCCAAAGGTAAGGAAGCATTAGCATTGTACTGCCGGTTATCTGCGGGAAACACCATCGAACCAGCAGTACTACTTCTCCCTCAGGCTCCCATCACACTACCAGTAATTAACTTTGATCTTACAACTATCCAACAAACCTTTCTTGTATATTAGAACCTAAAGGAAAAAGTGTTCCCACCGGCATGGCTCATTGGATCATTGTGATATGCGAGCCCGACCACCATGTCAAGGTAGTGGCTTGAATAAGTGAACATATAGTATCTTTTGGTGAAATATAATCTTTTTAACACGAAGAACGAGAAGATAACTTAATTTCCACTTATCTGTAAATTCATATAACCAGCATGTCTACCAGCTTTTTAACAGATTTAGAAAATAAGACCAATAATGGAAAAAAGCATTTCAATATTGTTTAGTCAGCATAGAAAGAAATTCTCAAAAATGATATGAAAAGAGAGAATATTTTCTTTTCACATCCCCTTGTCCCTCGAAATATCATTTTACAATGAAATGCAATAGAAAAACTCATGGAAAGAGGGAAAGAAAAAAAGGAATCTTATGCCATAGCTATTTTCCTGTTGTAAACATGGAAAACCTTCATATATGATTATTACAACAACAGTACCAATACATAATTAAAACTTCATCAAGTCATTCATAATTATATGATACAAATAAATTTCAGGATGATGACAAAAATGGTTAAAGACTCACAACAAAAATATGGCTGTATATACAATATGAAAGTGTGTAAGACGGGAAGGAATTTACGCAGAAGTTATATAACGATTATAATGCAAGGTTACATTAACATATCTGCGAAATATTCATCGAATTCATCATCTTGAGTTTTTACACTACTCTGTATACTGGTATCACTGTTAACAGAAGAACTTTGAATAACTTCTGATGACTGAGCTGGTGTACACCAAACTGAATTCATATCTGTAGGCTTTTCTTCTGATACCATCTTACCACCAGTATTATTATCATCTTCACTAGCAATACGTGAACGTTTGGATGATGTGGGCGAAGATTCGTTTTGTTGACTGGTTACTTTGTCATTGTTTTCATCTTGATTGGAATTTAAACGCTTGCCAGTAACATCTCTCCTTCTGTGAGGAAAAACAAGAGAAAAATACGAAGATTATATTAAGCTGACATTGAGTGTAAAAGAATAGTTTTAACCCTCAACTGTCATATCACAGCTTCAAAACGAAAATTAAAAGTTACGGGCCCATTATGCTAGACTCAACCATAAACTGGTAAACAGATCAGCGACATAGAACCTTACATAACTATCCATCGATCCACACAAAGAAGGGAATCTAACAAGACAGGAGATAAAAAGGGAAAACAATATCATCAGTAATGGAAAAGTCAAAGAAAGAGATGAGTAGTGTATGCATCTACACCGTTGTAATCAATTTAAAAACACATCACATATGTTCGAGAGTCATAGATATCGGCCATTTCCTGGATCACAACAATCAAACCTAGACTGTACTATGAGACTCAGACTCACAATAGGCGACATCCTACAATTACTTCTGTTAAAATAGTTCTTTTTGAAGTAAATGAGGGTTACGTTGAGCAAAACATGTCATCGCTAACTCATGTGATCAAAGTTTCCAATCTTATCAGCTGATTTACTTCCTTAATTTAGGACACTGTATTTAACTGCTACCTGTGGCAAGAAGCAGATATTTATAAACCCTTAGTTTAAGGGCAATACTGTAGTTGAAGTTATTTGCCAAATTGACTTCAACCCTTATTGACGATTTTGCTTAAAACTGTTCTTAGATTCTGAGATCTCAGTATTCTTTTTGTGTTATAATGAGGTGTTGCAAAGCAGACTGATACATTAACATCGCAGATTTGTAGCTCAATAACTTTCCTCTCTACGCTTAATATACGACCAGATGCTCAATGCAATCAAAATCAGACTTAGAATTCGGTGAGAATATCGACTCTCCATGAAGTGTAGGATAGTGTCTAAAGTGAGTGTAAAATGTGTCAGAATACTAATCCGTTTTCTACCTTGGTCAATACTTACCTTTTTATTCAATGGAAAATGTGGCGATGAACACAAGAGAAAATTTACGGTCACTGGTAAGAGTTTACTGGTTGCCGAATGGACCTAGCTTTTAGCTTTAATTAATTGTTTATCATTAGATAGATGATATGTAGTCATACCACCTTGTGTTTCACAGTTTTTCCATCGAACAAAACAGTGATAGACATACATCCATTGGTAAGAATTCCCATTGAGTTTATAAATCTTCGTAATACCCTTGGTTGACCATTTGTAATCTCAAAACCAGAGCATAAACAACTCACCCTCGTTGAGTCTCTGTATGTAAAGTATTTTAATTTTATGTATATATATACATTAGTCATTTGACCAGCAGTTTGGTCTTTTAATATTCACTCAGTTGGATATTGAGATAGTCATCATTCATCATAGTGAGTCAACCGTACCAAGCAGCGAGCAAAAATATCCGGTTCAGTTACCCAGTATATTGTACAGCCAACGCAGGCATCAATCAGAGTTGTTTGCGATAACATACACAAGCCATTATTACAACAGTATGCAAGCAGCTTGTATAGATTTTATGCTCTGAAGAGCCGGCTTCCATGAGATAGAGAAACGTGAAGGAATTTAACAAATACATTTTCTTGTCAAACCACTTATTCAACGCTCTAATTTTTAATTCAATCAAGTCAAATTTTAGCCCTTAAGTCTACAAAAGTATTTAAGTAACAGTTTGATATCAGTGAATGTGTCATAAGAAAGTAGCAACCAATTTGACAGTTTTTTTTGGATCACCAACACTACTTGAGTACAGTTAGCTAGTAATTTCATCCTCTCAATACTTCGCTTATTATCTGATAAAATTGTGTCAATTTGGTTTATTGATGGATTACGGCACTGTTAACACTTCCAAAACCATTCAAAATTTGCTGTTGCAATAGGTAAAAGCATATGAAAATGTTTCTATTGTGATTGTATCAGAGTTAATTAATATATTCTGCTCATAACCATTGTGTTAAATGTACACAAGCGTTAGCTTATTTTCTGTTGACATTATCAAATCCATTCACGTCACATAAAGGTCACCAGAGTGCGCGTGTATCGTAAGACTTTTTGTAAAACCTAGAAAGCTTAATGAAAACTAAATCCAGTCACAAGCATAATTGATATGGCACAGTTTTACTTTGGAAAATCCGATGTATGATCTCTCTATTTCGATTGAATCTTCACGGCTTGTTAAAATATATTAGGTTCTGATTAAACTTGAATCAACATATGTTTATCCTACAAATTTGTTGGATATGTTAAATAACATGGTGGATTAACCAACTCATGGGAAATCTTGTTAGTAATAAGGTTAGTGAAAAAAACCGAATCAAAATGCTGTTAGCAACCTTGCACATGGTTGTACAATAGGCAATGAGTCACACCTACTTGTGTGAGAGCTAGTGATACTACCTGACTGCCCAAACCTCGGTAGGTGGAGCGATGTTGAAACCCGTCACTTGTTGGTTGAAAGTCGACTGCCTAAACCAGTGAGCCACAGTTCCACAAGATTAGTACGTTTGATTATCCTTACTTGTTGTCAGGTGAAGCAACAATACTGAAAAAAAGTCCTAAGAAATAATTTCGGTTTTCAGAGGTAAGAACCATACAGATTTTCTTCTTCTCCTTACCAAACAAGACTGCATCATTCATACAAAAAGGTACTGAATTAACAGAACATTCACGATAAAATTGAATAGCAGCATACAGAATAAACACTCCTAAGAAAACGTTATTATATGTAGTTGGCTGATACTACCACTAGATAGAAAAGGTTAAATAGACATACCAAACCTTATTCGACGTATAATGTTGATCGAAATATTGAAAGAGAATGAAGAATGGTCCGATTAAGACATGGTACAAATCCTTGAGGCTTTTGTGAATGTTAGTCTGAGCCATGTAGGGAGGTATAGGTTACTTGACTGAGGTCGTCAATATCTCAGGAATGAACGATAGGAGAATCTTACAGATACAGCTCAAAATCAATTTCAGTTTCATAAAGATGTATTCACTTTCTATGGTCGTCAGAACTGCGGACTATTTCACTGACATTCACCGAATTATCTTTTTTCTCGTCAACATCTGCAGCGCAATGTTGAATCGGTAGTCAGCATAATTCGTTCAGCACTTTGGATTGATCAAAAAGTTAGCATCTATGCTTTCTCAAATAAATAACTGAAAAATAAATTTCTTTATCCAGTCTCAGCAAACTCAACCCATAAAGTGGTTGGTTTCAAACAATGAAACCACAAAATATAAAGTGAGTTAAACCACATGTTGGCTGTATTTCACATGCATACATTGTTTTGTAGCAGTTCTTTATCAACAATCCAACAGTATTTAAAACAATTTACTTGGATGAAAATTGACTGACTGGTTTGTAGGTCAACAATGATGGCGTATGAACGACCAGTGACTGGTTAAATTGGTTCAAATGAGTACATACAGGAGTGTACACTTTCTCAATAGAATACGCACCTTTAATATATGTGTGGCCATAAAATTAAGTAGATATTCTAGTTACTCATAAGTAGTACAATTCTTTTGAAGAAAATGATAAAACAAAGAGCTTAGATAAGTTTGAGAACATTTTCAAATATACCTAAACGAATCGAATTAATACCGATAACAAATGAAGTATATCTGCAATTCGTGTGGCACACATGTTCCTACCGATTTTGCAATTCTCAGATGATGCAGGTGTTTCGCTATTTGACAATAACGTTTTGTGAGGTGAAGTCATTGCTAGTTAGATGCTTCAAAGGCTAATTGACAACAAACAATCCAGCATCCTACCTAGACGAAATCTTCTACAGACACATAACTATACAGCCTCAACAAGAAGTAGAGGAAAAAGTCCAATTAACTTGCAAGTTAGTATGCGACACAGACTGATATCAGTTGGAGAAACCTGGGAACACTAGACTTAGACTCTTCAGCAATACGCACCCAATCCATCAGGTCTTGCAGTGAACACGTTAACCATTCTGCCACTGGGTGGGAATCCAATGATCCCCAATTCCCTACCTCGATCAATATACACTATTGCGCGAACACCATCCGATGTCATCATTGAGCATTTTGTCCTCACATTCGACATGGTTTACCCCATAGGTTATGACTTTTCACTAGAACTCCGCGATATCGCGTCTCAAAGCATGTCGCTAATAGGCATAGACAGTATGCCAGTTTGAAGGTTTCTGGGAATTGACAGATTTCAAGTTAGTATTCACCACAAACTGACATCAGTTGTAGAATCCGAAAGCTGTTTCGGTCTAGGATGGGACTCCTCAGTAGGGTTTTCCCAGTGGTTCAACAAGTTTTGTCAGTTCGTGACGAAAACTACCTTAAAACTAATCAGTCCTCATAGACCTCCAAAGTGAGTGTTTTTGCCAACTAAACATATCGCGTCAGAATAGTAAAGGGATTGAGTAAGCGATAACAACTATTAAACAAAAAAATATGTTGGACCTCACAATGCACAAACTTTTCATTGGTACATTAGTTGAATACCTGAAATTCAAGCAAACTAAATCAAGTAGTCAGGATAAAAACATGTTTAACTAAATAATACGATGGGAAACTGAGCACAGTGAAATACTATGAACTTCAGTCTTTCTTTCAGATCATGATAAACACTAGATGATTAAGATTTATTAATGTCACTCACCGATATCGATAGTTCAGTTTTTCAGAGCACACAGGACATAAACGAAGCTTAACCAAAGCATTTCGTCGTTCACCTCGTTCTTGATAGACAAAATTGACTTCCCAACTACGAAGACGTTCAGAACCAGCTGGACATGCTACATTTCCACAGGCAAACTGACCTAAAACGTTACGGAAATACCAAGTGAAAATGTGATCAACAGATGTGGATTAAAACTGTAAGTACACACTGATAGTTCAAACAGCATGCTAGAGATGAATTAGATTAAGCTTTCTCAACAACGAACGAGGATTTAAAAATTAATCAAAACAGTGGCTGACTGGTGACCAAATAACATAAGAAAACTGTACATTCATTTGTTCTGTTCATACACTAGATGAAAAACTGTCAAACTTTAATTAAGGTCATCTGAAACCTGGTACAAATACTTTGTGTTAGTTTAACATAAATTAAGCGTGGTAATATAAATTGTGATCAAGTAAGTGGGACTATACACTTATTTTCAATACAATACTGTGTAGTATGATCCCTGAAATCAGATGACTCGAGGCAACTGTTAGTGTTTCCTTTCCAAATACCCATAAAATGCCTCTTATTTGGTAAGACAAACCACAGGGCAATGTTAGACATGTATGTAGTTTCCAGTGAAGCTGAAGGAATAATTCATAAAGTTATAAACTGAGATGGTCGGAAAATGTGTTATCCGTACCAAGTAACCACAAACCCTGATTTGTAATGTTTCTTGCAGAATTAGAAAAATATGACGCTGGTCAGACTTGTAATTAAAGCTTCAGAGAATGTCAACATAGGACCCAGCATTACGAAGTAGCGGTCCAAGTTGCCAGCACATCAAGGGAGAATGTACCAAGACGAAAGGTAAAGAAATTACGTAGGAAGTAATCAAAAGAGAGCAAGGAGGAGTTATAGAGTTCTGTAATTCAGTATGACAACTAAGATGAAGATAATGTATTGATAATGAGATCCATTTTGAGCCATATCGCGGCTAAGTGGAGAGCAGTAGTTTTTCTGGCACAGTTTTGGGAATGACAGACATCGGTGGTTAAAAACTGTACACTATATGGCGTAAGACAGATCTTAGCCTCGAAAATCTATCCAATTTTTAATATACTCAAGTGTTCGATTTCTTTCTATATTTTTATCCCTAAATTTCACAATACCTTATAAACCTTATTTTTGCTGATGTGGAACTGTATTTTATTGTCTCCTATGGTCAAATTTCAACCAACAGGTCAAGTGTTAGGATCACGCATGGCACCTGAAGTTTGAGAAGCTGGATAGTATTGCTAGTACTCATATTCTTCAGTTCGCAAACCTACAGCTGGTTGCTGAAGTGCACTACACTTTTGTTGCCCAGTTATTTACATTCAATGAGCTTAGAAGTTAATGAACCTGAACTGGCACAGTAATACATCATGTTCTATTTTTTGCTACCTAGTTATGAATAGCTCCTTGAATCTATAGGGTATTCCAAGAATAACTTCCTGGATTTAATGTACCTAATGTCAATGATAATCCAAAGCTGAACAAAATAATGCTAGTTTATTCAAACATACAGAAATATGACTATCTCCAGGTTATAGTCAAAGCATACGAAACAACAATACACCATTCGCTTGAAGAAATGCTTCATGCATTCATGAAGTGATCCAGCAGCTGAGAAGAAGTATAACGAATATCAAAAGGTATGTCAGTGATTAAAAAGTACACACTAGTCCACAAAAAAACCGAAATATGTGGTCAGCCTTAAATACATGTTTGGTGGTAAACCACATACTGTCACAATACCTTTAAGTATTTAGGGCTGGATACCATAAAACATCAGAGTAACTTAGAGGTATACTATCTATCGTCAAATGCACATAACAGTACATTTCACTAAACACCCATCAAGGGACTACTTATATGCAAAAGGATTAATCTTATGAAACATACCTTTACCAGATATCACTTCTTTTTCGAGTCGCCATCTCATTCCGAACTGAAAAGGAATAAAATGTACGACAACAGATGAAATACAGTTTCACTAATTAATTAATTAGCAAATTCAGATAAACTTCGTCTTCTAATTACGCTATCAAAGTTTCACGCATGAACGAGATAGTCATTTTGATCATTTTTGTTACTTAGTGAATAGACTTCCAGAAGGGACTTATTTTCTGCAGATTCTTTTAGCTGTCGACAGTTTTTGTTGGTTTATACCGTTGACCGTTATTGCCAATGCAACGATCATTCTATATAAAAGCACCACGTTTTACGGTTGTCTCACTGCCAACTTCGCTATGCTTGTGTTTGTGGTACAACTTTAGAATAAACTTCAGTATCATCGCACTCCAATCATGAGGTTTCTGTACAACACTGTCTGGATTAACTGATAGTTGCCTGTAACTGAACACCGAGGATACGACTTACACTGGTCAAATTGACCCTTGTATTATTAGTAACCGATCAAACAGTTAGTAACTACACACCGCTATACTAATCTGTGAAGTTTTATCAGTGAATATTCCTGAACTTCAGAAGACTTTATTGGATTCCATTGACTGTATTCTCCAATACTCACCCTATCATAAGTCTGTCAAGTTTGGTAGAGGGTTGCTACGGTAAATACCTGATACTAGTATACAGAATACTCAATAATGTACAATCAACAACCTAACACAACGTAAACAAAACATGACGACGAATTCGAAACTGATGACACAAAATCAACAGCTCATAGGGTTAACTTTTCATTTATTTACTGCTTACTATACAGTATATAAATAAAAGTTACGAAAATTTTCAAAAAAAACTATCGTTCGTATGGCTCGAGCCTTTTGTCATCTACCCATGATCAACACCCACAGCTTAAAGTAAGAAAAAAGAACACCACCATGGTGATAATATGAAACTCCAACAAAAAGGAAATTCTTCACAACCAAACAAACGGAATGAACGCAAGTACACTGCTCATAAACATTAAGTCCAAACACTGGAAACATAATTCACATAGAATGTCACTACTAATGATGGATCGTGGCTAGCAGTGGAATCGACGGTATTATGTAAAAACAATAATACTAATGCCACTACTTTTGTACAAATCTATATTTCCTAACCAATTATCTCAAACCAAAACTTAGCGGTATGTCGTATACTGAACTCCTACCGGTCATATATTTCGAAAAAAAACAAACACGTTAATGAAGTGCGTTACTATCTTCCTGTTAAAATTTATACTAATTCTCCAAAAGCAACAGTCGCAATGGGCAATTAGTGTATCAATTATCAGAGCGAAAATTTCCCTTGGCAAATTCAACTGTTTTCCTATTGGGTTCAACATAACAACACGATATATTCCACTCATCCCGTACAATCCAACTTACATAGGCTATTAGATTAGATAACTCATAGTAAAAATGTTACACAATAAGCATCCAATGACTTTGAGTAACGATAAAATTCTCTAAGAAGGTAAGCATGTTATTAAAATGTGAGCCTACCTTATTTTCTTTGTAGCGCGATAAGTCCACAAGACAATATTCTTTAAACAGTTTCTCCCAGTACTTCTTGGCGAGACGTTCAGACCTGTCATGAAAAAGGTTGTTTGCTAATCGAACATAAACCAAGCATAACTTCAAGGAAAGCTTCTACCGTCATAATATGCATCACATTCTAATTCAATAATGACCAGTATTGGCCAACAAATATCCCAGTGGCAACAAAGAAATCATATAAATACCAACATATTTAGAGACACGATTCAATACACAGTATACACCTCCAAACATAGCCACAAAACGAACAGAAAGATAATTAGCAGATAATACCCAAGATCTGGCTACATAAACTAGCCACACAACGCTATCACACTTCAATTCATTCTCGAGTGGCGCCGCCTGAAGTGTGACACAAACTTGCAATGACGAAATCTTATATCCACTGCCAGAAAAACCGGATTTATCTACGCAATCCTGATATTGAAACTTATGCTCCAACTGCTTCTATGGAATACAGCAAAGCAAACTTCATTCAGTGTGCTAAACATTCTAAATGAGTTATTTCTGTTGAACAGCCGATCCAGTACGTCTGACACTGTTCTTCATCGACTAAAGAAGACTCTGGTACTGCTAATAGCTATGTAACCGTACTGACACTAAGGAATCGTCATATGCACGCACATACAATCAGTAAGTTGAAGTGCAACCTGAGCAATCTTATTTCCTGATCACCGGATACGTACTCTGTACATATTCGACTTACTAACTAAACAACGCACTACCGCATAAACCCCGGACACCTGTAATTTTGGCAGTGCAACTACGGCATCTGCACAAGTATCCCACTCTGGAAGCGATTTTACAAAATACGTAGAATTTATTCAAGAAGGGTGTATGTGAATCAAACAGATTTAATCAAACTTAATTCCAGCCTGCAAAATCATTTGCCAGTTACTGGTGACATCTAAGTTGAAGAAGCATCAATACCATCTGGTCGTTCACCACGACGTTGGTAGCTTTGCATTTCACAGAGTTGCCAAAACTGTGGCATTTAATGACACGAGAAGCAGTTTAATTTGAAACACTCAATATTTTACAGTCAACCTACCACGATACTGGTTCATCTTGATCCGACCACAAAAATCTTCCGTGCTCTTTGATGACATCAACATCCGTCTTATCTTTTGAACTGTAAAACGAATTATATATACGATGGAAACCAGAACTTACGTGTCACGTTTAAAATCTTCCCACGAGCCACCATAATATTGCAAATAATCATTTACCAACTGCTTGTGGCGCTCGAACTGCGGTCCAAGTCAAGGCATTAAGATAGTCGTAGACAGCGTTCAGATACAAACTTGACTTGACAAAGAGGTGAATGCATATCCATATGATATGAAGAAATTCTGATTGGTTACTATGCGCTTCAATGCATGCAAGCATTGTCGTAAGACTCTCATCTTAGTTTTTTCTAACTATCGACTACTAAATAACCGGCGTTTCTGTTATTTCGTTTTAATTTTGGGAAAGTAAAACAACTCACCTTTTTCACGCCATCTGGGTGAAGTCATCATACACTATTTCCCTAAGATCGCTGACAACTATGTCGAAACCTACGTTAATGTCAAAGCTGTTACAGTTTCAACCACGAAGATAAGAGAACAATGTCAGAATATCGTAGGCGTCAAAATATTACAAGAAAAATAAAACCCAATTGTGAATCCACAGGTATGGAACCAAATGATCCCAATGGAAAATCACTAAGTCACTTGCCGAGTTCCACCTAACTAGTTTCCATTGCTATCCACTTCTAAGAATCTTAAGACCCCCTCTGTTCTAACATTACTTTATGTAACTGTACAGAAACATTTCGTAGGTGTAAAACGGACTGATTAACCGTTTTCACTGACTGTTGAAAACAGCAGGAATGTCGTTTACAGAAAGCTCGAAGAACTAACAATGAAGACCAAATTAAGAAAGCAACAAAGTTTGGGTAGTCGCCTAAGTTGCGACCGCGCTGTAACATCTTGTTTTGAACAGTTAATTGTTTCAAAGGGAGAAAGATACGCCCGACACCTGAAATTGATACAAGTGACACTGGTCATAAATCATCCGTCCCAATTTTGCAGTTATCCCATCCTGGTACAGATTATCACCAAATAAGTCACACAGGGGACTCCAGTTATGTGTAAAATAACCATCTGATAGCATAACAGCAACACAAAATTGTTCCTTGTGTTATGCGAAGTACAGTACACTCCGATTGCGACCGAAATACTGAACAGTATTGATGAGAAAGGGGTATGTAATTTAGAACATACAGAGACATCTAACAATTGTGACATCCTTGAGTGATTTCCCGACTTAGTTGGAGTCATCTATTGTGCATCAATTAGGAATACGATGAAACTGGGTAACACGAGGTTGCACTTAACTATTGTTCGCCAATTACTGTCTGAGATACTCTGAAGGATTATACCCGGTGAGATCGAGGGTGCTGGCAATATGAAGCTCATATTAAGTCACACATAATTATACATATACATATTTCAAAGGATACTGCATCAAGATTTAATAAGCGATGCCGAGCAACAGAATTGTAGGCTCTAAAGGGAAATGAAGTTCACTAACCACGCACCACCTTTTGTTTTCCGCATCCAGGATGGATTTCGCATCTCCATAAGCTGGGAAACGAGCTCTGGTAGGTTTTTCCCACAGCTCTTATCTTTGGACGGAGGTATGTCAGATCCGCTACCACAATTTTAGTAGACAACAGGCATTTTACAAAACGATAAAAAGCAAACAACCTTATCTCACTGCCTGCATCGAAACGACTGCTGGTCTCGGACTCGTAATCCGAAACGTAATCCCTAGACTCAAACATTCTGAAGGTAGCGTTCAACAGGAAAGTGGCGGTTTCCGAACTTCAAAATTCGTGTTGCAGAAATAGCGAACAAAAGTTTCTTAGGTTATACTTCTGTCTTATTGAAGGCAAAGTCAGGTTTTGGGGTGATCAAAGCTGTTTTCTTGGTTCTGAGAAACCTAATGGGACAGATACAATCAATTGTTAAATAATCAGCTCCTCCTGAGTAGCCCTGGTGTCTATAGTCTGTAAGTAGACTGGTGACCTCTTGAGTACGGTCTATCTGATCTACAGGGCTCTAGATGTGCACCTGGCCTCCCTTATAAAGCATCAGAAGAAGAGACCCTACGGCCCCTTAAGGAAAGGAGTTTTGCATTTAACATCCCCGACTCTGAAACCGGCCAGTCAGAAGTGGATATTTGCTTAACCCTGCCGAATGCTAGTTGCGCATCTAATATGCGATTTATAAGATATATGTGGCTTCAACATTGCAGAAATGAAAGCATCATACATGAGATGGACTTGAGCATTTTGGTCCCTCAAGACTTAAAATCTCATGCATATGACGCTACCCAGAGTTCTGGGCTATATTCTTTCCGCCCCATACTCCCTTGGAGAAGGACAAATGGTGCCCTGAACGCATCCCAAGGTAATCAACATAACAATTCGAGGATTTAGGCTGAACATGTGTGGGGAACAACTGGTGGAGCTTGACCTTTGTCATTTAACGTGAGGAAGACCAAGAAAGGGTTTGATAGTGGTTCACTATATCTAAAATACCTCCGGATACTCGACACGTCATTTATTTAGTCCCGGTTGTGATGCGAATCCTGAAGGACATTCACGGTAACTACGCTTAGAACACAGCAAGCTAGATATGAAGCGCATGTTCCTCCCCTTATGAAGTGCTTAGTCTTAGAAACCCCCTCCTTTGGAGGTGATACGATCGATTCGCTTTGAGTCCCTCGAGCACCAGCTCGATACCTGCGTACTATATGGGCTGGTGCTCGGCAAAAGCTGGCAGGCCCTGCCTACTTCATTCGCGCCCTTTTCATGACCAGTTGTGCATGAGCTGATGACCGAGGGAACCTGTGGTCCACTGTCTCCATGTCTGCAGGGCAGTTAAACGAAAGTATCCAATATTCTGCTACCGGCCATTTGAAACTATAACTGTAAAAGAATGGGCACAGACTTTCGTGAGTGCTCCCTGATGTTTCATTATAAAGTGATGGCCTCTAGAGTTGAGTTCCTGATTAAAGCTTGAGAGGCATCTGCTGGGAAGAATGAGGCTGCTTGCAATATGACACTGGTCATACCTCCTCTGATCCTCCCTTACTGTGCTACACGCAGCCTAGGAGAGGTTGAACGATCTAGACAAGGATTGCACGTAGCCCAACCACTTTTTTCTGTAGCTCTTTCCTGAGCCTTTTCTATGGTGGCAACGTCCCTAGCCAGTTTTTCTCCGCATCAGAAGGAATCTGTGGTCCGCACACTGTTGTGAAAGAAATGGAGCTAGACCCAGCAGAGTTGCCGAAAGAGACCCCGGGACTTCATATACCTTGTTGATTGCTATGTAACTGTGGGCGAAAGCTCCAAGTGCATCTCTCATGATAGTCCCTAGACCTTTTCCAATGTTCAGGTCAGAAATATTTATCCTTCCCTCGAAGGAAGAACTAGAAGTACACCTGCCTTCGTCCACAATCACCGTCCTACGCTTCCCTGTCTTAAAGGGGGACAGGCTTTCGCTTGCCCAATTTACGACTTCGGAAACCTCCGGCCGCAGAACTAAAATATCCACCGGCTCCCATACATCCCTATAAGTCTCCATCTCGTCAGCACCCGGTAATGAATGACAGTTTAGGGTCGCCGGTAAGTCATTTACAAAGGCAGGGATTAGGGGTGGGTCAGGAATGGAATTTTGAGACAGCCTACCCAGCATCAAGGCCAAATAGGACAAGAAGAAGCTAGCCCTGACTGTAGCCAGGTGTCAAAGTAACTCCCAAGTTGACTGGGCGACTTCAAGTACGCACCCATTATTTGAAGTTTTTTTCTTGGGCTGAATTTCATGATCAGTCCCATCGAAGGCCCTGGAGAGGCAGGTGACCCCGTACATTATCATTATACATTATATTGCTGGTGTTTTTCTCATAAGAGTGGGCTTTTCTACTCAACAAGGAGTCCAGTTATTCCAGGCCACCAGCAAATCGGTGTCACACGAACTTCCAAGTAAAAGCCCGTCTTAACAACCACTCAGGATTGAGCTCCTAAGTGAATAATCATAAGACCAGTTATTTGCTACTTCTCGCATCGCGTTCGCAATCGAAGGGGCCGAAGAGATCGGTTAGAGGCAAATGGTTTGCTGCCACCCTCATATATCGGGATGGTGGTTACTCATTGCCAACCGCAGCGCAGTCTGCCCTCCGGAGACGAGTGTCTGAAGAGGTTTGCCAATGTGACAGTAAGGACACCGACACGCTATTTGACCGCTCGCAGGTGAGTGCCATGAATTCATAGGGATTTATTGGGATTTAGGCTCATTAAAGTTCCTGTTATCCTAAAAGGCCCAGGTTTCAGTAAACCTAGCCCCCATGCAATCTCAGAATCTACTTAGTGTATGGTTTCCTCTTCCATTCAAAAGAAATTGCTCCAGAGTTCCTCAGCTGGTTAGCTAGCTGTCTCAGAGCAAGCTTGGTGAAACATTAGACAGATAGGGCCCTGCACCCTAAGTGACACGTTACTCCTCCTTTTCTTCAGTGAGCACAATCTCCCGTGATTCACCACCAGTATTCCACAAGGATGTGCCTAGGAACCCACTCTGTCTCTTCTAACGTTTACCGCACGTTTGCTACAGACGCCCTTGTAAATTCTTCAGGCGTCCGTCCGGTTGGAAGACCATCTGCTGGTCCCCAGTTGACTGCTTGCTTCGTGCCGTAAAAGCCTGCGAGTGCTCGGCTCGAGCCCGGGGAAGAAAGTCTGTCCGTTACTTGGTGGAGAGTTGGGAGGAGTGCCCCTATCAGTCGTTTTAAGCGTCGTAACCCTCAACGGCTCAGACCCGGCGTCCAGGTCAGGTGAGTTGTGGAAACTTGGTTCTCAGGAGTCTGTCGGATCTTGTCCGACCTTTTGATAGTTAGCCTCCATCGGATTTCTAACTATCGGTTGATCAGGGATAGGTGAAAGATAAAGAAATCTTGAAGAAAACAGGTGCATCGTCTAGACGTTTTTTAGGTCCTTTACACTCACTCCACCATCTTCGTACAGAACCCAAATTTTTCGGACCACGTGCAGGCACTGGAGGCGCTGCATCTTGGATAGAGTGTATCTATATCTGTTTGGTTCTCACCATGTCTTCGAAACACCCTATTAGCAACAAAGCTCCACATTCGTTGCGCATGATGTTAGCACCATCTTTCATTGCATGTCCAACAAGATTGGGTTTCTACAGCACTGTCGCGATAAATATTGACGCGGGTCTTCCATTTTCGTTTGCTGCCTTGAGTGGTGCTCGAAAATCCTCTCGCGTTTGGGGACTGCTTTGCTCCTGTCAACTATTTTCCGTGGTTGACAGCAGAGTTGGAAGGTTTCTGCCTGACCACCCTCTGTCGAAAGGCGCTGGGTCACAATTTCTTGGTTTTAAGAACTCATGAACCCAACAAAGACGACGAAAACGTTATTTATTTGGTCACTTAGTAATTTGTGATTAAACTCACCTCTGCGTCACCAGCGGGTATAGAGAGAGTGTTTGACGGGGTCTATTGGGATGACTTGAACCACTCTCAACGACACTTCAGGAATCAATTGCCCTTAAGGCAAGGAAATTTCACCGGCCAGCTAGAGTGTTACACACGAGGTTCACAATCTGCATGTATCCTCCGAGACCGTTGTTGCAAATGAGCTCGAACAAGAGATGGAGTGAGTGTCCAAGGCATTCGGTATATTCTACGGCACTGCTGACTGACGAGTTAGTCTTCTGTCTTCCTGAGAATATGAAACAAGCGCCAGTAACTGTTGCCCTTTTTGCATGTGTAAGTAGCCGGTTAAATACTGCCGATCACCTCTGAATTGATCTTAGATTCGTCTGTGCTGTATAAGTGAGGGACAGGAGCTCGCAGCAAGGAAGGGTTGTCAAAAACCCCATGAGGATATCTGAGATAGAGTCAACACGAAATGAGTTCCTGTGCTACCAGGATAAGCCTTTAAACCTCGACGGATTCTGGCACCTAAATCATTTCTTGTCACTGATGCTTTAAGTTGTATGCCGCTGGGAGTATTTGCATGACATGTATCAAATTTTAGGTGCACTACCTTGCAATTTGCACGGCTAAATGCATGGCAGTTGTTGTTCCCTCGTTTTCGGGCTGTCTGATGGTTAAACATTACCGTCAATACCTCTGACTTGTTCCCTCAGCTTTTAGCCGTTGCCAAAAAGTAGCTTTTCGGAAAACACCTTCCGATGCAGGTCTTTTGTTTGTAATAAAAAGGAGAAGGCTATACCGCTGAATCCTGCTGTACTCCACCAAGGTATGCTGCTGTTGTAAACATGGGAACATCTGCCTGAAATCTGTGTAAGCGAACACCGATACTTCATGACAACTGATTGGTGAACGGTGAAGTAATTCCAATTACCTTTGGTCTGTAGTGCACCCTCTTGGCACCAAAATATGGCTTGGCCTAAGATAAACAAACCAGCATTTAAAATGTATCTGAATAATAGCTAAATAGTATTTCACGGCTTCGAAGGTTGGCCTGTTTTAGTGTATTGGCATCCAAACGTTGATGCTCCCCATTTTTGCGTCTTCTTCGTTTTGGACAACAATGACCAACGCAGCATCCTTAACTTGGGCACTGATAGACGGAAAAAGTCGTATTCTTTCTCTGGCACAATCTCTCCATTCCTAACACATGAACTATTTGTCCGGGTACCTTTATTATGTAGCGTGTTTTCCAACCTTCCTTTTGTTACCAGTACTTACACGTGGGTAAGACACCAATTATCTGGGTACCGGCACACAATAACTTGTGTA